GTGGTAGTCGTAGTAGCAGTAGCAGTAGTAGTAGTGGTAGTGGTAGTAGCAGTAGCAGTAGCAGTAGTAGTAGTAGTAGTAGTAGTAGTAGCAGTAGTAGTAATAGTAGTAGTAGTTGTTGTTGTCGTGGTAGTACCGGTAGTACTGCTCGTACTGGGAGTACTGGTAAGACTACTAGTAGTAGTGATAGTAGTAGTGGTAGTAGCAGCCGTAAACCCATCATAGCCTGGATTGAAGCGGCCATCGTCCTCATTGTCGCTTCTTCGCTGGTTGTATCGGTCTGCATAGCCATACGCCCCCCGTCCACGCCCGGTGCTGCGGGCACTTCCGCCACCGCCACCGAGGGCCTTGTATTCAAGCCACCTGGGTTCACGCAGAGCTAGGACAGGAAGACTTCGTGCTACAGTCTTGCACCACGAGCTGCACTGTGCTATCCCGTCTATGCCCCGTCATGCTATCTACCTGTCGCCGCATATCCAATGAACCAAGCAAATACACTGCGAGATCTTGATCGTACTATAGCACGGATGCCCCACAGCTTCTTACATGATCTTATATGGTCCTAGTAGATGCATTGAGAGCCTAATGCCACTCCACACTAGTTCATCCTATGTGGTAATTAGTTACATTCTCTGTCTTGCGGTACATGGTCCGTACGCGGATACGCACATCCTTACGATATCATGTTGCTTCGCACGCGTTAGTGTGCTATCCTCTGCTACTTTGGCCTGTTGTTTGCTAGTTCGACACTTCGTGCCCATCGAATGGCCCATCAAATGCAGATGACGCCATGAACCAACTTCTACTTCAACTGTACCGTATTGCAGTGAATAGTGTCACTCGTCGCAGTTGTAGCATATTCTACTGCGGCCGGGCATCCACAATAGTGCGCTGCAATATGAATATGCAGTCCTCCAGTGTGCACGTAAATGGACCTACATCTGCTGTTGTGCGCGTATCTCGATGCACCAAGTTTTACTATGTCGTAGTGAAGTATGCTGATAGTCTCAATGGCAATGGTAATTACCATATTCTACTTCGTGATCTCAGGCTGCCATCCCACACCTGTGTGGCACAACATGCTCCAGTACCGCAGGTTCAAAGACACTTTACACCACCGTACCATACCTTAACACGTTGCACCATACCCAACTCCACCATCCTACACAGTCTCATTCTTTGCATAAGATCGTTCTAGGCATCTGAGAGGATCCTATCTGTCTACCCATCCATCTAACTGCCTATCTGCCTATGTATGTATGACCGACCTAGCTAACAATGAAACCACATGTGGCATGTTTGGACATCATGACATTGCACCCTCGCCACACTGAAGGAGGCGATCACATCTTGTTCTGAATTCGCATGAACATAAAAACGAGTCGGCTAAACCCTAATTAATTAACCCCGAGGCTCTAAGGACTCATATGTTAGGGCTTCTGGGCTATTTTGAGCCTTGGGTAAACCCGAAACCCTGACCCTGAACCCCAACTCCATACCCTTAGCTCAACACTCGGGGATTTCCACAGTTTTCATCTCCTGGATGGACCTGGCACTAGCCGGAATGTGAACACCGACGCACGGCCGTGACTACAAGGTTCAGGGTTCATGGTCAGGACTACCCATGTGAGTTCAATATGGGCGTTTCCGAAAATTAGGGGTACCTTCTTTTGGGGTCCTTACAATAAGGATCCTACTATTTAAGGTACTATATTAGGGTCCCCTATTTTCGGAAACCCCTATATGCGGCAACCACCAAGTAAGAAATCAAAATCCCCCAAAGGACGACACTCACACTCGTGACAAGTGCATGCACAATGCCCACCATCACCATGAACACAGTTCTCAACAATCATCATGACGCACAAAGCTGCGGGAAGTGTCGCAGCTCATCAGTGCCACCCGGGGTTGTGCTGAACTTTGGTTGAGAAACCCCCAAGCTAACGATGAGACAAAGCAAGAAAACACTGAAGCTGGATCAATGCCCGCAGGAGCCGAAATAGATAGCATGCTACATGTTGTAAACAGAAGATCGCAGAACGCGTCGTTGAAGGTGTTTAGGCCCAAACCCTACGAGGAGTAGGTTTGGGCCATGGGTGGTTTGGCCACCTCGGACGGCATGGGGCGCGAGGAAAGGTGCAATTCTGCTCCAAAGTCTGCCCCCAAGCCTCTCAAACCCTGAACCCCAAAAACACCGGCAGAAACATTAAAGGAACCCTGAAACCCTACACCTTCAACCGTAAGCCTAAACCCCCAAACACGAAACCCCCAAACCCTGAACCCTCTTCAATGGACCCTGACAAGAACCCGCAAAGGAACCCTTTAGAGAAGGAAACCTGAAATTTAACCTTTCAACCTCAACTCTTACAGAACCCTTGATTCCGAAAGGTTAAGGTTTAGGGTTTAGGGTTTAGGGTTTAGGATAAATAAAGGCACCCCCAAACACGAGAACTGATCTCTACCCCTAAATCCCAAACCCCGTAATGGCCCCAATATCAAACCCCACCTGATGATCTCTTTCAGCGCCGGTTCCCAGCTGCCCACGAGCGAAGTCGAAATCCCCGTGTTCCTCACGGACGAAAGGAGGGCGCCCAGGTAAGACGAAGGGCAACTTAGGGCTTGAGGGCCTTTGGGGCTTCGGGCTTTGGGGTTTAGGTTTAGGAGGGCTTTTGGGGCTTAGGGTTTTCCGGTTTAGGGCTTCAAATAGATCACCTGCAGCTGCTGTAAGCGTGGTGATATGAGATGTCGCAGCCGAACTAGATTGCACAGCAAACTCGATGGAAAGCTGGAAGCAGCTGTTGCCCAAGCTGTCCCAATGCGACCAGTTCGGCCAATCCGATGGGTGTAGTCCTCAGGCACAGAAGTTACAAAAGACCAGAACTTCTTCGCTGGTGAGCGGTGGCAGTTTACATTTCTCGGATTCGTCCTCCGCGTTGTGGGGAAGCTCGTAGTTCACCACGTGGTCAACACCTGCATGAACCATGCAAGAAGGATTTCCTGCATATGGGTAGTTCTCAAAATTAGAGTCCCTTTTTGGGCCCCCAATATAGTACGGCACCCTTATAAACAGGACCCTAAAGGGGACCCTAATTTAGAGAACTACCCATATGCACCTTTCAAGGAATAGCTACTTAATGACTAGCTCAGCTATTGCCGCAGAGTCTGTGCTTGGGTGCAGAAGTCGTTCCTGCCTGGGAGGTCGAGCCCCCTTGCTGCGACGTCAGTGGCGACGAGCACCTACAGAAGCAATGAGAGGACCAGGCGGCCGACCACACCCATTCGAAACTGAAGAGGCCGAACCCTACAGCTGAAACCGTGAGCCTTAAACTTAAACCCGAAACCCCAAACCTCTTTCCAAGACTCTGACATTGACCCGGCCGTTGCGGAAATCGGCAAGTGCACGATCCCGGGCGGCCTTCATGCAAGCTTGGTGAACACCCTATCGGTTCAGCTTAGAGCGTTCTCCTGGATCCAAAGCCCAGGCCGCATCGGTGAATCCTACTGTGCGGACTCTGCAGGAGATTGCGACTAAGCCGATGATGTGGGCCAGGCTGGGCTAGCGCAGAACAAACACTTTTCTGTGTAGCAGCCGCAGGATGCACAAATATAAGGGTCTTAATAATCAGAACAGAGTTTCGAGGTCTAGATTATATGCCAACCATAATGAGGAACACCGACACAGTATCGCTAATTCTTTGGGCCACTGTTTTCACAAGCGCGAAAAAGAAGAAGGAACCCTAAACGCCAGACCCTGAACAAGGAGCCAAAAGAAGCGCTGTCAGTAGGAAAGACGAAGCAGAAGGCATGGGTGAAAGACTAGCCCTATACCAAAGATAAGCCCTAAACCACTTTAAAGCCTAAACCAACATGAACCCTAAACTCTAAAACCAATATAAGCCCTAAGCCAATAGAAACCTCAACCCTATAAACCCTAAACCTAAACATGAACCCTAAACCCTGAACCCCAAAAGGCCTGGGAGAGACCACCGTGGATTTGCATGCTCCGGACCCGGGCATCGGAGAGTCTCCAGCAAACCGCATCGACGGTGGTCCTTGGGACTCAGGGCTCCGTTTAGGGTTTAGGGTTTAGGGTTTAGGGTTTAGCTCCAGCTTTAGGGCTACCAAGGGCTCAGGCTAAGGGAAGCTTGCTCTTGTAAACGACTATACTATACCAGAATCTATTCTACCCCTACTATAGTAAACTACAGTATATACTCTACTATGATATACGATACTGTAGCGTGGGCACTGAGGCGAAGGCTTGGAGTTTGCGAAAACCAGCGTCTTGGCATACTTGTCGTCGCCGTCGCTCTTGACCTCCACCTGGAGACTTCTCCCACAAGGATTCTTAATTAAACGGTTTAGGGTTTAGGGTTTAGGGTTGCTTACTTTTCAGGACCTGCTCTGAATACACCCCACACGCTCCATCTGCCACTGCAAGTAGTGGTTAGATAGAGGCTTTGGGCATCCACACACTCGAAACACTCCGACGCGTTGATGGCCCTCATTCATCGACTTACCTTCCTGTCTTCATGTGGAGAAAAAGATAAGTTTGTAAACTCTAAGCATGGTACAACGAGAGGTAGGAGACATGACCATACACCACAGCTCTTGATGCATCCTGCGCTTGAAGCCGCGTTAGACACGTCACGGGCCTGTTAGCATTCTGGCATTAAAATTAGTATTGGTACTGTTGATGATAGAAATCCTGCATTACCTTAAGGACCCTAACCTATGGGAATGATGGTACATTCCTTATAATGGGTAATGCAGGATTTATATTAACAACCGTATTAAGTATTGTTAGTACTAGTATGAATATTCCACCTATACATCTGCATCATATTGAACTCAGCTCATGCCTACGACTCGAAATCTCTCTCGATGAGATGTTTCCTTGGCCGTTTAGGGTTAAGGGTTTAGGGTTTAGGCCAAGAGATGTGAACGTTGCGTGTCTCGGCGTGCAGGCTTTCTGCTTCCGCTTCCTCCAGTCTGCCCCCATCCGAGTTCTTGCATTGTGGCTCCTGCCTCTTTGACAGCTTCGACCAACATCTCAAACTTGCCGTCCAAGTCCTCGGATGGCACAGTCAGATACAAGAGACCCTGAACCTGTGGATGTCACGGACCTTGAAGCAGGGCCTACCGCGAACCCCCCCCCCCACCCAACCCCGAACCCTAAACCCTAAATCCTAAACCCCTCAAACAATGAGAGAAAAGGCCAGATCCCTATCGACTCGAAGTCGACCTGCCGAGAACCGAGCCGTGGTGCTCGCGTCCTGGAAGCGCTGAACCTTCGGAGCAAGGGTCACAGCAAGCGCCGACCACCGAAACACGCATAGAGATGTATCGCTCTCTCTCTCTCGCTCTTTCTCTCTCTCTGCCTCTCTCTATATATATGTATATATATATATATAATACATGCGTGTGTGTGTGTGAGAGAGAGAGAGAAGTGCAAACGAATAAGCAGATAACGAATACACGTATGAATATGTATAAACATATATGTATGTAAGTAGAATATGATATGCTATGTTTTGCTATGCTATGCTATGCTATGCTATGCTATGCTATGCTATGCTATGCTATGCTATGCTATGCTATGCTATGCTATGCTATGCCATGCTATGCTATGCTATGCTATGCTATGCTATGCTATGCTATGCT